AAATATCATCCAAATGCTACAATATAGAGCAAATGTTTACAAAAAATAAGCAGTCAACAATTATAGTAAGACCAGTAAGTATATTTTTAAATTTCATTAAAAAAGTAGTCGATGAAAAAGTGTGTTTTTACTTGCTGGTAATTACAAACAAATAACAATTGTATTAGCAGTTGTAATATATTTATCATGTTAATTAGTATTTATAATAATTTTTAATATACTAATTTATAGATTGCCAACGTTCCTGTTATTTTACCAACCACAGATAATACAGTTTTAGAATCAAATAACAACTATTTCAATGAAGAATGTTTACATTTACAAAATTTTTTAAATCATTACAAATATTTTAAAATTAATGTATTAAAAATTCCATCTGAATTTACTTCTGCAAAATCGTTGCTTCAACAAAAAAATATTGTTCAACCAGATTTAAATTCAATTATTGATACACTCAAAAAACTACCAGCAGCATTTTCAGAAACATTGAAGATACTTCAAATTATAAACACTCTTCCAGTGAGTACTGCATCAAATGAAAGGTTTTTTTCTTCACTCAAAAGAGTAAAATCTTATCTAAGATCTTCAATGGGTGACGAGCGTTTGAGTGACTAATTGGTCATAGCGGTAGAAAAAGAAGATGCTAACAAAATAGATTTAGATGAGGCAGTAGATAGATTTTCGAAACTAAAAAGTAGAAGGTATAAGCTAGAATAGTATAATTAATTAAAAAAACTTATGAATACTGTACGTCTGTAACTGTATGGAATATTGTATTATTATTAAATTATTTATTATAATAAGTAAATAAATATAATATATTCATTTTATTTGGAATAAATTGCATTGATTAAATGTAGATACCTATACCTGTACGGCTGTACATATGTACCAAAAGGCAAACAAATTATTAATGAATAATTTGAATTCATTAAAATATATTCTTCAAAAGCCTAACCTAAATGATATTAAACGATATCTGCATTTACTATTTTTAAAAATGTGGCCTGACAAAAAAAAAAAATTGGCCTGCTTAAATGTTGGCACCCCTATTATAAAACTCAAATGGCGCCCCTGAACTCATGGTTTACAACATGATATAAATATTAAATAATATGCCATCTCATTTACTAAAAAAATTAAATCACAACTTAATTTTTAGGTACATATTAATGTATTTATTATATATATTTTTTTGTACTTGAAAATGAGGGTGTATTTGTATTTTATCGTCGCTGTATCGGAAACAGCGTATGTCGATTGGCTACCGTTTTCCTTGGAGCGCCACTTCCGTTTTAAGGGGTTCTATATAGGCAATTTTATTGTATATTATCTTACATCGTGTGAAAAATTAAAATTTCCTAGATAGCGAGATTACAATATACTATAGGAAAACGGTTATGCTTGAAAAAAAGAATCATGAAAATACTTATATATAGTAAAAAGCTTTAATGTTTAAACTGTTAAATTAATTTAATTAATTGCGTCGAAAGGGTATGTGCGTTCCATAGTTGAATCCTCTTCAACTTAAGTTGTATTAGATATTTTAATTAGGCAGGAATGCAAAGTTTGAATATATTATCGAGTAACCTATATAATTTCTTTTCCTAGTCAATATGGGTAATGTAAAAGTGACAATAAATGGAATGTTACAAGTTGATTTGAAACGTCTCTGAAACGTTTATATACGTGACAGAATATTGCACAGTGGTATGATTATCGGTCTATTGAAAAGTGTCACCTATTACCCGAAGATTAGTTGAATTTAAGTGAGGGAGTGAGATTTAGGTAAGCGCACATATTATCGTATCACTTATATTATTCACAGGCTCCCCTCAAAGGTAGACTAGAGTTACTCATATGTGTTTCTAAACGACTCTTCGCATTTTGATGGCACATATATTGATATATTACTATAATATGTATTATAGCCTATATAGGTATAGGATTCACATGCACCTACGCACACGTCATGTTAAGTATCATACGAGCACAATAATTTATTTATATAATGCATAATATGTATATAATTAGTATACTCTTTTTCACCAAACAAATTATATTTCAAATGATTATGAATGATAAAAACATTAGTATCCGTAATTTTTATGTCAGTAGTTTAGCATCAGTATAATATAAATCTAAAATGTAGTATTATTATAGCTTTAAACATAAAATGTCCTATTCGGAATCTATTAAACATAATACAATTTTTTTACCGCATAGAACAAATTCTCCTATAAAATACGGCACTAAAAATGAATACGAAAGTACACATGAGATCAAAAAAAAAAAAAAAAATAAGGACAAAAATCAAAACGGTAATATAGAAAATTATTACAATAATACGATATTGTTAGTATTTACTACGGGTATAATGAGAAAAAGGACGTATACAGGGTGGGTGATTTAATATAACAAGCATAATTAATATTATATTCTTACTGTCTAAAATGCGCAATAAAATGTAGTTTTTCGAGCTAAGAAAAGTTGATTTATACAAGAAAATGTAAAAAAAAGAAACAAAAAATTACGAATTATTGCACGTACGTATGGGTATAATAAATATAAATTTTAAATAACAACACACGATAAATTATCTTTACAAAATATGTATACAAATATTATAGACTGCGCGCATGTACATATTATAATAATAGTTTTAGCTACACAAATTTAATCAATATTATATATGATATAATATACCTAATAATACAATAGATACAAACAAAAAAAAAGATTTATTATTCAATATTTTTAAATAATAATAATGACAATATAATTTAGCGAACAAACACGTCGATGAATAGTATTGATTTATTATAATATCTATACATTATTGTTTTAACTTTTAAACCGTCCATTGGAGGGTTTCTTGAAAAAAAAAAATCTAAAACCTGAAATAAATCTGACGGCTGTTGTGACTAATAATAATTACATAATATTGTAATATGTTTAAATCTGTAGTGCAGTCGGACAAAGACATATTTTGGGAATTTTTCTTCGACAAACATGAACTGATGACCTATTTTACACCATTCCCACAGCACACACACATATTATACATCAAAAATCGCCCATAGTTTGTTTAATATTATAACGTTGACTTTCACCGTATGTATTCCTTATCGTAATCTGAATATTCCTGATTTAAAACAATATATTAATAATTATTCACACCTATTATTGTTTATTGCCCATGACCGTCATGTATCTATTGTTTTGTGTAGTAAACATTTATCCAACGGTATCAGCATGTTGTGATATTGATTTGGAGGGAGTATTCGTTTTAAAGTGTCTCGTAATAATATTGATGTTTATTGTTGTGATACCTCCATCGCACCCGAAATCATTTCCAAAAAATCAAGACAGGTATAGAGTCATAACCACGGCCTTAGACTAGTCATAACTCATACCAATATGACAAAGGTCAATATTAGGTCTTGTATATAATATACCTCTTATCCGTAATCATTCCTTAACCCCACCCATCGTGTCACTCCATAACATCATGCCTGAGCGACTGGGGTATAACTGAGAGGTTCACTGATGATGGGTAAACAAATAAGTAACTTACAAAAAAATCATCCGATTACTTGGGTAACCGTAACTATTATATTTATATCATGTGCATGTTGTACCTATGGTTATTTTTTCTCACTAAACGTATGTTGAGACGGTCTCGCACGACTCGTGTAGTACTGGGTGAATATAATTCGTCAATCGTTGTGCTTTAAAAGTAGTGTGAGAGGTATATATTTTTAATCGCTGCAGTAAAAAACGTAGTTCGACTATCGTTATCGGAGCACGTGTCAGAAAAAAATTGTATCGGTGCGCGATGCCATTCTGTATGAGGATAGCTGGGGAACGAAGACGGTCACACGATTAGGTAGCAATATATTAATTAAGAGAACAGACATTGAAGGAGGCGTTTGATTTTTTCTTCCTCAAAACGAAAAATATAAATATATTATGTGAATGGTACACTAATGCTTTTGGACAATATTGCATTTTATACTCGTTTTGAGAAAAAAAATTTAATATCACTGGTCTTGAAAGTATTCTCATATAATGCGGTGATGGTGATAGTGGTACGCTTGTCAGTTTGGACTAGAAGTAAAGTTGCGGAAGATGATATCATTTCGCTTGTTACAACGATATTACGGGCTTTTGGTGACTGTTGGTTGGGGTAGGGGGGGGAGGTATTAATGCTGATCGCGGTGCAGCGCTGCTACCCTAATCGCAAATTATTTTCGAGTGTGTTCGCCACCGCGGTTTGTTGCGAATTCGCCGATGGTCGATCGAATATTTGCAATAATATATTATAATTATTATGTATTGCAAGACCCCTTTGACATTGCGTTGGATGTTTGAAATGATACTGTAAAAACAAAAGGATATTTGACAAACGTCCGATTATGAGATCCTGGCGATGATCATCATGGTGTATACATAAATCGTTAGGTTTTAGTGCGAGGTAGTACACTACAACAGCCGACACTCGCATAATTATTTTTAGAACCCATTTGTCGAGCTAACAACCAGCTACATTCGGCTTTCGTTTAGCAAGTTAGGTTACCCGAAATCGCCTGGTATATAACACGGTACAGGTAGATAACCTGCGTCTAAACGGACCCACAGCTGCGACTGCAATATATAACCAGTTAAACCTACGCACTTCATAATAAATTGCGTTGTGGCGTTCGCCGACATGTCTGCATTTTACGCGCGACTACTCTAAATAATTATTTAATAATAATAAAATGTACACAATAATAATAATAATATTAATAATAATATACATAATACGTTTTGCAGTAAATCATAATGGCGATTAGAACATCGACGACGACGTGTCGGAAGACGTGACCATTATGTCGGAGCCGACCGCCTGTTGCTGTTGGTGGTGGTTCACGCCCCTCACGTTGTTGGCGTTGGCGTCGCAGTCGGCCAGCACTTGGCCACCGCCGGACGACGCCATGGCTACGTCGGCAGCTGCCGCAGCGGCCGCGGCCACGGCCACCGCGGTCGCGGCGTTCCGGCTGCGGAACCCGCCGCCGTTGTTGTTGACCAACATGAGTGCGTCCGCCGACAGACTGAGTATCTTGGCGCTGTGCTCCTGCGCCTTAGCCCTTAGGCACGCGATGCTGTTGTTCCGGAACTCTTCCGAGTCCTGCGCCCGATTGGCGGCCAATTGCATGACGGCCGCGTGGTGTTGCTCCATCTGGGATCGTATTTCTTGCTGGATCCGTCGGTGGGCTTCAGCGTTGGCCGCGCACTGCTGCTGTTGTTGCTGTTGCTGCTGTTGCTGTTGCTGCTGCTGCTGCTGTTGCTGTCGGTCCTGCGCGACTGCAGCGTCTTGTTGTTGTTGCTGTTGTTGTTGTTGCTGCTGCAGCTGCTGCTGTTGGTGCCGCTGCGGTGACGACATGTCCGTCGCCGTCTCCGGACTCGTCCTGGCCGGCCTCTTGCAGGGGTGGTTCTCTTCGTCATCGTCTTCGTCGTCCTCTTCGTCGTCATCGTCTTCCTCCTTGTCGCTCTTTTGGCTGGCACCGCTGCAAACGGTGTTGTCATCTTTCAACTGGTCCGCCGCCTCGATCGACTTGCGATGCATGCCTAAAACATTCAGGGTTACGAGTTAATTTTGACGGTCGTTAATAAGAGGGGATTAATACTTTCATTTTTATGTTACAGGAATAAGTATTTTCCAATATAAATTTCAATTTCAAAGATTGTTACGTTCTCCGTGACGAAGCAAGTTCGTAATGTGTCTATAATATGCAGTCTTTATAGTAAAAATATATGTACCTACCTACCTAGCTACCTATTTTGTTTTGCATCAGAACAAATGGATTTTGATTGTGAATACCAGACTGATATTAGTTTAGTATGGAATAAGATACAGAACGTATTCCGTTTTGTTTGAAGATTATTTCCTACCTTTAAAATTTTAAATACATATAGATATTTTTTTTAAGTAACGTCACTGAAATGCATTATTTTCATTGTATTATAATATATGTATGTATAAATAAGTATATATGTATACTTATGACACGTTTAATGAAATCTTAAAATTAAAATTGAGGTGTTAAAACATTATAAAGGTACTATTCGTACCTTATATTTATTGGTAGTAATTAAAAATTACTCTGAAATCTGGATTAGAATATGTTTCTTTATGTTATAGTCAAGTACCGAAAGAAATTATAAAACATTCCTATAAAATCTATAACTTTGAAAAAAATAAACCATCAAATTGCAAAAGCAATTTGTCATTTCGTATACCTACATATTCCAGTGTAACATTGATGCACCGTCGCACCGTTCTACCATAACGAGACCAACCATTTTAAAGGGAGAAAACATATCAATGCATGATGTATACGTATATTATTATATTTTGGTATTTAGAGGTTTTTTTTTTTTTATTATTAAATTTGAACATCGGTGGAGATATAATAGAATTTGCATGTTTAATGGAGTGGTGCGAGATGTTGAGGAATTAATACAATAATGCACTAAAAGGCGTGAAAGTAAAGTGCATGCCATGGAGTAGAAACCATCGGCCATTACTCTGGTAAAACAATGGCACTGTGATGGGAAACGAATCCTTAACAATGGACATTGTGCTAATTCATGAAGCTCATTTCGGTGTTCCCGTGGCAACCAATTTCCCGAACATATAACGAGAATAATATAATATAAAAGAGCGGGAGAAAAAGAGTGACGGAGACAGCAGCTGTAGCCTGTAGTTGTTGTATTACGCGGTAATAGGTACTTACCGAGCAACCAGGGCGCGACGCATTCATTCTCCTTTGCACTTTTCAGGATAGTCTCCGGCAGTGGTAATGAATGTCTGACCATAGCACCGTAAAGTCCATATTCAGCCATTATCGTGCTTCTTCCCCAACACTTTTCGGTCTTTCGCCACTTGGCTCGCCGGTTCTGGAACCAGACCTGTGCGAAACAAAAACATTGTGGTTTATTATATGGGTAGAATATGTCGCCGTACAACGAGTTGACAATGGGGTACTTGATAAAAAAAAAAAAAAATAAAGGAAATACAATGTATAATATATAGTTACGAGAAAATCTTGTCTCCACAGAATATTATATACATATTGTATTACCGCAGAGAAACTCTTACTTTCTTGTTATTATTATTATTATGAAAATAAAGCGTATTCCTTTCAAATATTTTAGTCGATCAAAAAATATGTAGGTGCACATCAAAAAAATGTGTTCCTACACATCGTGTTTGTATAAATAATGTATACTGCGATTTTATCGTATTCAAGTTTAAAAATATACGAGCTATAAAACCATAGGTATAACTATCAAATCATTTTATTGTCCTTTAATTTATTTTGAAAATAAAAAAGTTATAGTTTGTCCCACATTTATAATCGTAAATATAAACGATACAAATAAACGTCTATTCAATTGTCAGTGTTTTTAGGAAATACGTACGAATTAGTAATTACATTATTTTTAAATTGCTGATAGCCTTAACTATTACAATATGTATAACAGTAAATAATAAATTTGATAATTTAGCATACCAATTTGATAATTATTAAAATGTTCAGTAATTTAATAACTTTTGACTATAGTTTTGCCTGTTAGATTACGCTACTCGTAAGCGCGTAAATGTGACATCAATATTAATTTTTGGTAGATTATAATTACACGCTTCTATATTGCACTAATTACAGTAAGCATATGATATTGTTCAAATCTTCGCGTAATATATATTATACCTTCGAGCGGAGTATTGACAAGATTTTATTTAGCTTTCAATAAACAATATATTATTACGTATCGAAGAATATAATGCATTGTTTAACCGAAAACACAAACATTTTCGTTTCCTACTTCTAGATATAGTTTTCTCTAAAATAAATAATGCACCCCATAATTACAACTTATCATTTTGTAAATCGGTCGATTTGAAATAATTTGACTCTCGGATAAACCACTTATTATTATAGACGATGTATATACTATATTGGCATTATTATCGCCATCGAAACAATAATTATTTGAGTTCTTGTTTTTATTTTTTTTCAAACAGATTGGAAACGAGTCCTGTAGAATACCGATATACAAACACGGTAAAAATACCGCAGTATTGGTTTGGTTCAGTGGATTAACTTTGACCAGTTATAAAAACTAACATATTTCTACGAATCACGATGACGTTGTGCAATGAAAAAAATGTTCATATTTTATACTATATATAATATGATAATACGCTTGTGTGTTATACACGAATAAAAAAATTACGAAATAAAGATTGAATTTTATTTACTCAAAAATAACGGTATAACTCTAACAAGATAGAATATGTATAATAATATAATATTGCGTATACCTATAGCCCAAATGTGTTAAGTCCGATTGACGTACCTACGATGAGTCTTAAAATATTTTTTTTGGCTCGAACAAAAATCAAACCGTTTTTAAAACAATTGCCGGAAAGGAATATAAATCAATAGGACCTGTAGGTACATAATTGGCGCAAATCAATTCATCGTCGTAGACTCGATGTCGCCGCGACGATAATCATGACGTTATCGTTCGGTCCCGTTTCACGCCGAAATCGGAGTGGTCCTTAGTATCGTATAATATTATAATATATGCGCTTATTTTATTAATATTAATAATACTACGCCGTCGCGTATAGAGCGCAGTTGGCCGTGTCGCGGATTAAATCGGCCGGTCGTTATATATAATAAACGTCACGGTGTGAAACGGCAATAATTTCTACGAGTAGATACCCTCCGACCCCAACCCCAACCACCAGCGGCATCGCGGGCAAGTTATTAGAAATTCATTGGCGGCGGCGGAGCTATGGTTTTTGGTGTTCGGGGTAGTGTGGCAAGGGTGGCGGACGGGTGCCGGAGGACTGCTGCTAATCGAAGCACACCCCGCGGAATTCGACTTTATATATTATTGTCGTCGTGTGTTTTTCGGCGAAACTTCCCTGTCATCCTGTACGTATAACACTCACACACACACACACACACACACACACACACACACGTGCACACACACGCACGCACACACGCACACACACACACACACGAGCACACATTGCACGTATATTTAATATTATATATCTGTGCGCGTATGTGTGTGCTTGTGTGTTTGTGTGTGTGGGTGGGTGGGTGCATGCGTTAGAGGGTAGACGATAATGCGCCGGGGGTAATCCGATTATGACGTTTCGTCGTCGAGTTAATTGAATCGGCGTGAAACGTACACGCAGAATTTGTGGGGGTGTACATGGCCGTGGATGCAGGTCGGACTGCAGCGATGTCTTGGGTGGCGAGTAGAAGGGGGTTAATAATAAAGTGCAAATGGAAATATTTCCGAAAACTAATTATAATTTTTCGTCGTCGACGCGCATTCTTTTCCCTGTCCCCGAAACTTCTCCCCACTGGCGAGCTGCGAAAAGGCGGCGACGGCGGCGACGGCGGCGACGGCGGCGGGCTTAAAATATAAAATAAAATAGCTGGACAATGTTGTATTAATATTGTATGCGCATGCGCATTACGCGGGGTGTCAATAATAAAATAGTCTCTTCAGAAGGTCGTACAATACGAGTATAGTTTTCGTCGATGACCGTCGATTAAAATAATATATCTTATACATTCGTTAGAGGTATCTTAAAATACATATCGATTTGTATATATTTTGATCAAAGGTCATAATATGGCTGCAAAAGCTAAACGAAAAAATGCATAGCAATACTTTCGTCTTGTACTAGCGCATAATGACAATAACTGTGAGGTAGAATCGACCGGCAGGTTCGATGATTATCGAAATCAAAATAAAGGATACTAATACAAATTACAAACCGTGTATGATCGAATAGGTGTTTATAGACTGTGCACCACGACAACAGGGGGCGTCGCAGGTGTTGGTCAAGGGGAGTTTACTTAGGCATAAAAGAGATAAAAAATATAACGAAGGTGATGAGTGGTGACGATGGTCATTATGATGCCCACTTATGATGGCTTAGTGATAGTGGAAACGATCAATAAATGCATTAATATACATAAACATGAACATCATCTTTCTTGTCATCATAATAATATTTGGCCGTCAATATGTTGTGAAATGACGAAGGAGACGTATGGTTGGACAAATTTAATCACTTTTGCTGCAGGAAGAGGCACAGACATTTAGTTTGGCCGAAATTTAAGAGTTGGAGAATTTTTTGTGAGTACTTTTCAGTGACTAGGTGGGTGGGCGCTTAAGCTTTAAAAATGACTTTGTCATAGTTGTTTCAAAAACCAATGTTGCCTACCTATACTACAATACATCATATCAAATAGAAGCTCTGTCATTACTAAATGGACATACGGTTGGAAAAAAAAACATATTAATCTGAAAATATTGAATTTATATCTTCGTGCACAACACTGTGCATATCAACTGCAAAAATATATATATTTCATTTGGGTTTGTGAATCTATATAAATCGGCATATTACATCGTAGTTGTGAGTGATTTGGACATCGGAGAGATTACTCTCAATAGCTCGACTGCTGTGTATATTTATATCATTTATAAAATCACTGATTTTTTTTGTTGTCAGTTAGGCCATTTCCACTCTAATATAGTTTTGGGATTTTGATGTAGCTAACAAAGCGGGCAAGGGGTGAAATAATGTTTGGACACAGTCTACTTTCGCGAATTGTTATGTTTACCGACACGAGTTGTACACAACTCAAACCACTTGAAACATTCGATTCGGTAAATATAATCCGACTGGCAGAACTGGACAATAATATAATAATATATTATACGGTCTAAAAGTCATACAATGACTAAAACTTTTGTGTAAAAACTCTCTAACAATATTGTGTTGTTTACCATATTGGCGTACAAGCCACTACAGTTATTAATACACTTAATGCGAATAGTGTAGGTATTGAGTTTATTTTACTCATATAATATATCCTACCTTTATGATCCTTCCTGCAGTATTTTTTAAACGACTTGACTTTTAACTGCAGCAGCTGGTATGGAAAAACTTTTATATTTTATAGGCAATAAAGTTAACCTATTCCTACCTACAAAATGGTATGGGTGCGCAATATTATATAGTAATTACTAATTAGTAGTTCAATGATAAAATTATTATTATATTTACTGTCAAATTGAAAAAAAAATTTAACCCAAAAAGTACGGAAAGATATTATGGAAATTTGATTTTGATATTTTATTAATAACATTTTCAATTTGGTTTTTATTTTATATCAGAAAACTAATTTTGTTTAATATGTAGGAACTTATGTTTTTAATTTGATAATTGAGAATTGTAATTACATTTTGAATATTATAAGCAATAGGTGATCAACTATTTATCTTAAAACTAATAACTTTATATGAGTTAAGAAAATAATGATATATTGGAAGAGGCAAGGTTTACTATATACATATAAGCACTTTAAATATTTGCTTAATATTCAATAAACAATATTAAGGAATAAAAAATAGTTATTATGTTATAAAATATGAATTTAGAAAAAAAAGTTACATTTTAATAAATGTATGTAACAATTAATAATACATATTATTAAAGGTATAATTATTGGCTCACGATGTTGTATTATTATCAACAAAACAAGCTTTTAAGTGATAATTATTTTGTTTTCATTTTATTTCGCCGCAAGTGAACTTATCTTTGCTGCGATTAAACAAAAGGACCCTCTTCCATTGACGTAGACAACGACTATCGTTTGATGAAGTGATTTCTGGTTTAGGTAAAATGTGAGCGCCTGAGCGTGTGTTTTCACCCTCAAGGAATTTATTTAAAAGGTTTTTTGTTTTGTTCAAAAAAGGTTAAGAAATGCCAACGAAAGGTTTTATTTTTTCCTCTATCCTATAATAAACACGTAGGTAGAGGAATATAAATGAAAGCTCCTGAGCAATGAAATAACGACTAA